GGCGCGAAAAACTCTCGAGGCACTCTGGATTAATTCCAGAAATCCGAAAATGAACCGCAGGGAGGAATGCCTCATTATCACGCGTGATATAGGGCAGTATATAAAACTGCTTTTCTGATGTGAGGGGCACATTATACTTCCACGTGATTTCTGTGCGGTTGGTCTCTACGTGACATACTTAGTGGAAACCTCATAGAAAGCGATGAGTGTGCAAAGCTGTGTTCAAAGTGATTGAAATCTTGGTTTGGGGTTTCTTTGTTTGGTTATGGAGGCGTCTGGCCGAGTGGGTTGCTGTCAACTTGACTTTTCCAGACTCTAAGAAAGCGAAATCCGCCGAAACGTCAGCTTAATCGTGAACAAAGAATAGTAACACCTCGCGTTTGCTCAACAAAAATACGAAGAAAATCACTTGATCAATGCCGAGGTTAATAGAAAGTCGGTCGTGGCAGTTATATATATAAGGTTTGAACGGCTTAACAAAGCCCCTGCCTTTTTATCACACCTCAATACGTTCTTAATTATTACAGAGAAAATTTGAATTCATAATATATCCACTCTTCCCAACGGTTCGATGCCTCATCGTGGCTGGATGCCGCTCTGCGATATACAACGAGGGGACTCATCCCTTCGAGAAGGCGTCCCCAATATGAAAAGGATCCCGGCGCTTTCGTCAGAAAGCCCCGATAAGAGTAAACCAATACCAGGATCCACCACCATCCTGAAACCAAACTAGTCGCATAGTGACAAACCTCCCTCTGATACACGAGGACGGCGACTGCTCGTGGTGGTGGCCTGGGGCAGACTTTGACCAAGCTGACCTCGGGACACCACATGCTGGGGCTCGCAAACCAGTAAAGACCCGCCATCCAACTATCCACTATATATATATATATGTATGTATATGTATATGTATATATATATATATATATATATATGTAAACGTATAGTATATATACGTAGTCGTACCTACCTTATCGCTAATCAAAGAAGTAAAAATATTCCCGAGCCTTTCGAAACACAATCGTACTGTTCGATAAAACACTTTCTGAAAAGATTTATTGAAATGGAAAATAACAATTTCAGTGTCCAACTACGTGTACTGCCCATTATTTCATTAGCGGCAGGGTATTATGTGTATAACAATTTTAACGTTCTCAGAAATCTATAGTAATACACTGAAAGTTACTATAGAGTAAATGAAGAAGTTGAAGACACGTTTTGTGAAACGAAGTTGATGAATGGACCCAGTGTGTAGTTCTTATCCTCCTAAACCCCACTAGTAACATCTATACAAATCTCCTCAGTGTTCTATTGTGATCGCATAGCTATAAATTGCCCTAAGTTTTTAAATTTCATGTGCAAGTAAGGCCGAAATCTTACTACCTACAGCGAGATTAAAGTATAAAGTGCAGGAAAGAAGTATTGTCATCCAACTAATGCCTCAACGTCTACGTGAACAAACTGCTGAATGAGTAGAAAAACTGTGGCAAAAAAGGCCTTTCTACGACAAAATAAACATCCGGAAAAAAAGGCCACACATGACCTACATCGCTTAATTTGACCCTAAACGCATGACACCTGTATAGCCCACTTCGTTGCCAATGTGCTGAAACTCTATGTGGCATCGCATCACATGATCATCATATTCATATCGGTCATCACATCTATTCTGCAGGTCCCAAGATTTTCTGCATTCGATTTGTTTTTCGCGTATTCGTCGTCCACAAAGGTCTTCGAAAATTTTGTGCTGTTTCGGCTTCTGCTTGTGGATTTTATTTTCTTTGTAAATGCTGGTCCAGTCGACTCTCCCTTCTTGCTGATAGACGAGAACAGGCGTTGCCACATGAATTAGAGGGCGTAAGAGAAAGCGTTGAACCAGCATCATAATTTCTGATAAACTGCATCACTAACCATTACAAATTTATAGCTGGTACTGAGCCCTTAGATGGTAAATTTCACTCCACGGCAAGAGTAAACATGTCATATGGTGAGAGGTACGTCTAGCGATCTTGTATCCCTGTCATCATTTCTTATGCCTAAGATATAACGGCCAACGTGAATTGATTTCAGCTCCCAGCAGCTTTGTCCAACTAAGACTGTTGTCTGCAGAAGGGCTAGGCTTTTACAAAGTAAGCGTTCTTTGACGTGTTCTAACATAGTTCTTCTTAGTAATTTTTTTCATTCTTATTCTCACAACCTTTCAGTGATGTTGTAGGCGTTCTACTTAAGGGTATTTACCTTAAAACCCACAACATTTGCCATTTACCAGTGTGAATTTTCATGTATACAACTTGCATTCGCCTTTCTTCACAACTTTTTTCTATACATAAACTTACAAAAAAGTTACATTGTAGTCCGCAATCCTAATAAATTACAATTTCTACAAACGACTTACAATCTTTAGAAAGAAGTTATTTCCACAATTAGAATTTCTCGTGGTAATTATTGGAACATTCTAAAGAACAATATTCTTTGCGTCAGATTTATTCGATAGTTCTACTGCTTCGTACATATGAAAGATGATTTGACGTTGCAACATGTAATTTCTTTTACTAGCAGACACAACACTTCGCTTTTCTACCACTTTAAAGACACGGACAGTTGAGGGTGTAAACACACACACAAAGTATTTATGTCTTTAATGATTCTGAGATATTTGCAAAACTCCGGACCGCAGGTGTTTGCGGTGGGGAACGAACGCGGTATTGTCCCTTCCGGTGAGTAACGCGTTCACCACCACACCATGCGGGTCCTTCGCTTCGCGTGTCTCTCAGCTAGTTCTATTGATCTTTTGCCATCAGCAATCACCCGTCAGCGGGGTTCATCCGGGAAATATAACTTTAATCTCCGAAAAGGACGACACCGCATTCGTTCCCCACCGCAAGCACCTGCGGTCCGGAGTTTTGCAAATATCTTAGCATCATTAAAGTTATATTTCGCAATGTATACCCTGCCGTTAAAAAAAAGAATAGGCAGTAAATAAAACGGTTAAGATTATTTATATGCCCTATCCTCAATTTGGGCGTGTGTAAGGGAGTGCTCGTAGGCGCCCTGCAATTCACACGGGATCGACCACTGCGCCCAAGGATCACCAAGACTTCTATCCTTCTAGAATCAGCAAACTGTATCAAACTTGTCTGGGAGGATAGCAACACTAGATTGATACATCGGTAGGCCACTGCGAGTCCTTGTAAAGGCCAGATATGCATTCAATCACCTCCAACGATGCTTAATGAAGTCGAATGCAGGGCGCATCGCTCAGGGATTGATCAATACCGAGAGCTCTATCCTTTACCTTTGTTATCTCTTCAAGCTCTGACCGATGACCTGATTGGACAGCCCTTTTTTCTAACTCCTGCACATGCCAATCACATGATCTTTGCCTTCTTGTGATGATATTTTCAGCTAAAGAGGCACTACCAACTGCCGGTATACATTTGCACCAAGTAAGTCGTCCATAAAAGTCATCACCGCTAATCCAGCTACACTATCAGTCCTGGAATTCTCCTCATCGATATAACTTCTGAAAGCATACCTCTTTTCCATGCACAATTTCAAAAATTCGGTGCCATACTCGTACTTCGCATTCAATGCTTTAGCAAAGTACCAATCATCCACAAACCAGACGAGTGATTCATCGACACGCACGTTCTTCTCAGTTCTGTACACTAACTCGCAATTCCCCATGAAAACTTCAACCGGTGGACAACTCTTGTCCGAAATGCTCATTCTTCGTAGGTTACTCTGTCGGCCTAACGTGAAACATTACCTTAGCATTGCGCGAGTGGGCATAAAAAATTCATTAAGATGTCGGACATTTGTACGCATTGTAAGCAATGGCGTCCACCAAACTGTGTTCTTCTTATAGACCTGTTCCTACTTGTCTCTTGGTCATCGTTTTCACTTTCGCCCTCGTCCTCATATTCATTTGATTCAATTCACTTTTGAGGGCTAGTCCACCCACAATGAAGTAAAGATGTATTTATAATGTTGAGCTTACACGATGTTGATAAAGATGTTTGTTCGGCTAACGTTTCGACGGGGTATCTTTCATCAGAGTTGATGGTCCGAGTCGATGATCCACAGTTGTTCGCGTTCTCGAAGTGGTGTCTTCGTCTCGCATTGAGCTGAATCTTCCTCACTGGAGCACCTCTCTCGAATGAGCTATGCTCACCCGGCGACACTCTTTTATACAGGGTGGTTTTCGTTGATACTGTTATCCGTTGATCATGATTTGTTTTTCAACGAATAATCCATCCTGTAGAGGTCTGTACAATGTCAGCTAGCACATAGCGAATAGAAAAACAATTCTGAGTATGGCTCATTCGAGAGATATGCTCCACTGATGAAGATCTGGCTCGATTCGCGACGAAGATGTCACCTCGAGAACATGAAGAATTGTGGATCATCGACTCGGTTCATTGGCTCTGATGAAGACGAAACCATCAAAACGTTAGCCGAATAAACATTTTTTTCAACCTCATGTAAGCTTAACATTATAAACACATGTTGATTGTTTAACTACCGAGGTTAAGTGACAGTGGTTCCAAAAAAAAAGATGACGTCAAATTTATCTTCCGCCCACATGAGCGCATAAAGTGCAATTTTTGACCAGTACCCGATTGTTCTCCACTTTGCAGCAGATGGTAATTTTATGGCATGTGGAAATATAAAAATACTTCGAAAATGTCTAAATAACTCAAAAATTGCTTCAAAACTAACTACCAAGGCTGAGAGCACTATGATTACATGGTGAACGGATTTTCTCCATCACATAAAGAAGATAAAACCGTTATAAAGCCATGGAAACATAGATCGAGAACATACATAACACCCAGAACATAAAATTCCACAAAACATGGGTGAAAAAATACGTTAAAAAAACGAAACTATAGAAGTAAAAACACAGAAAAGAAGCTATAATCATGTTTAGGAAGTATTTTGGCCGGAATAACACACCTAAGTCACTTTATCCAAAAATCAGTGTCACTTCCAATGCGCTAAATGTTTAAAAAGGTATTGAAAACAACCTGCTCGTTTATAACATAGTTTGGCACTTCAATATCCGCTCCAACTCGAGAGACACAGGCGTTAAACGCCTCAACTGCCAACCGAATATCTTCAACATGAATAGATCGCACCTAGAAATAGTTTTATTTAGAATTGAAACTTGATTTTAATCAATAAACTAAAGGTGCACACTCCATCTTGCGTATCAAGAACATCTTGTAGGTACTCAAGCAACCTTCCATCAAAAATTATTCGTCCAGAATTGTCCTTTTTCCCTTTTGGAAAAGACGGTTTGCCAACCGCTGGAAATAGCTCATTTACAAAATTTCATTCATATCTATCAATGCTTTCCTCGAACACATATGTATAACACTCAAGCGCACCAGTTTGCCTGTGCTCGAATTCATCGTCCTCTTCTTCATCCTCATCAGAAACTTGAAATTGGAGAAGGTCAGCATCCTCGTCTTGCAAAAACTTGTAGAATTCAGGGTCCCTTTCTTTCAGTCTAAAGATCACCGTCTCTGTTAAAACGCTTTGATGAAGAGAAACATTTGTAGTGCATTCAATATTCCCACTTCTTTAGATCATTCAGGTGCTTGGTACCTACATCGTTCGTTTCTTCATTTGCTACGCTGTTGTCTTCATCTGAGGCTGAAATATTTAAACATTCAAAAAGGAAATGAACAAATGATGAGAACTCTCAAAAAAGTTCCTAAGATGTTAAACTAATAGCACTCTCATCATGAATTAATGTAATTAATTGGTTTAAGAAAAAGCTTTTCTCAAACTTTCTAATCAAAGCGGAGTCGTCTATGTCATTTAGAAGTACAATAAGAAGACGATGTAGTATAATATAGTGGTGTGTACTGCGCGAGCTCCAGGAAAGGGAAACCGTGATTCGATCTGGCCACGGGTCCAAGCTTCGCGAATATTTCACCATCGTTATGGTTATAACAATATATGAATGTGTCGTTTTCTTGTTCAGCAATCGCGAGGTTTTTAAACAGCATACATTTACTTCCATAAAAACACAATACAATACAACGCTAGCTGACGTTTCGGCAGTATCGCCTTCTTCAGAGCCGCTTTTTCGTGACTTCCAATGAGGAAGTTTAGAACAGCTGATTATAGCCGGATATGGTTGATGACTGCACTATCCCACATCAGAAATTGATGCGAACATACGGAGTCAGGTCGCGATATGATGCGAACATACGGAGTCAGGTCGCGTATGACCTCCGGGCATTCGTCCTTGCTATTTATTGTAGGGTTCTTGGCATTTATCCAAAAAGCCTCAAGAAGTTTTCGCTCCGGTGTTTTAGTCTCCCGTGCAAGGATATTGACTTTTACTTCAAAATCATCTCCTTCAATACTTCATATTCCAATGCCGAGGTTAAGAGAAAGTCGATCTTGGGAACTATAACAATATACTTCACACTCGATAGGTGATACTTGAATGGCCCGTCCTCACTGGTTGCGCGGGTCCCAGCACAGTCTCCATTTTTCGGAGATTTGCTGGTTAAGCCATTGTGGTTCCCTGGAATCTCGAGGTCAGCTTGGTCAAAGTCTGTCCCTGGTGTTCACCACCACAGTCAGTAGCAGTCCTTGTGGATCAGAGGGAGAGTTGCCATCATGCTAGTTTGATACCAGGACGGCGTTGGATCCTGGTAGTGGTTTACACTTAGTTAGGCTTCCTGATGGAAACGTTGAACTCCTTCTAAGCTTGAGAGACCCTACCAAAGAGATGAATCCCCGCTGTAGTTCGCAGCGCGACATTCAGGAACGCCTTCCAGCCACGAGGAGGCGGTAAACCGTTGGGAGGGGTTGTAACAATGTAACAATTGATCTATATAAGCCTAAGAAAAAAACATCTACATAACTGGAAATATGCGATCTAGTTCTTGTCGGCGATCCATAAACTAGTGATTCTTTAGCCTATATTACCTGCTCCACTATCGAATCGTGTCATTCTTTCTAATGCCTGAGTCTTAACATCGTGCACGTTAATCTGAAATATGCACAGACATGAACATGGCATCGAAGAGACATTGACCATCTTAATTAGCTAAAACGATAAAACAGAAAGTACTAACATTCAGGCACTCTAAAAGGAACTCTCGAAATTACTCTTTTGGGGAGATAGCGCAATAAAAATTGCACACAAATAAAGACCTAATCTGAACTGCCAAACTTGTAGTCCATAATCGAAAAAAAAGGAAGCCACTGTATTCAAATAACGTTTGTGAGAAAGAAAGAAGCGCACGAGAATGCACAAACAAGCGCGAAACGTTTTTTTTTTTTTTGCCAAAAACCAGCTAACGGCTCTAGGAAGTAGTAATGTGTTGGTAGACAGGGACGCGTGGGACACAGTGGTCGGAGGCGTGCTGTCACACTGATGGGATCGAACCCAGCGCACTAAGTCTATCAAACCTATCCCTTCGGGGTCGGGTGGATAGCAACACAGGCTCAATAAGCTACCGGGAGTCATTGTATAAGCCAGATATGCATCCAATCACCTCTAATGATGCTTAGTGAAGTCGAATGCATGGCGCATCTCTCTGGGATTAATCAACGCCGAAAACTTTATCCTTTTATTCTACTGACGATTTTCAAACCTGATTCTTTCGTCTCAAAACACGTATGCACTAAGAATGAAAAATAAACCTTATCCCTTCTTTTTGTTTCCACTTCGCCTTTGCTCTTCGCGCTCGGTTTTCTTCGGTGTTTGTGCAGTGTTGACTTTTCAAGCCTTGGTTTCTTGACCAAACTCATAGGACTTAAAGTAATGAAAGTACGACAATTTCAAGCGAAATCATATTTAAAATACTTCAATTGTACGACAAAGCATCAAAGATGCCACAATGTACTTTAGACGAAGAAAAAAAGAGTGAGGAAACAGAACAGAAATCCAGGCAGATAAATAACAGCTTTTAAAAAATATACTGGGGACAATAGAGAACTTTGTAGTACAACACTTAATGAGAGCAGAAAGAACACTGAGCTGCTTGTCGGCAGAGATAAAAAGGCTGATCTTAACAAAACCCTCGTAAACTTCAGCAAAACAGTTGGCACATCAAATAAAGTGAACTAGCCGCTACTGCTATTTTTGTCATTTTTTTAAAAATTCGTGAGCCGACTCGAATCAGAATGGTTACAATGCACTAGCAACAACTGATGATAACTACCATCCCAATAGAACGAAGGCTAAGTTGTTTTAAATGTTGTTTATTGCCAATTTATTTACTCTTCTCAACCATTTACCACCTCATTGTGGTTAAGAGGTGTTCCTGGGTGTCGGGCTGAGATGTACAGCGGGGGAGTCATTACCCCGTCAGCGTCTCCCGAGCAGAGAAAAAGTTCGGTGTTTCCAACATTAGGCCCAGCTAAGAGTAAACTAACACCAAAATCTAACACCGTTCTGGTATCAAACTAGTCGCATGGTGGGAAATCTCTCTCTGATCCACATGAGCTGAGACTGCTTGAGGTGGTGACAAGACCTGGAGTAGACTTTGGCTAGACTGACCTCGGAACTCCAGGGATGCACAGCGGCTAAACGAGCAAAACTCCGAAAAAAAGGAGATTATGCTGGGGCCCGCACAACCAGGGAAGACTGACCATCCAAGTATCTAAGTAAGTAAGGATTTATTTACTCCTAGAGTACTATCTGAAATACAATTATAAAGAATATAGATATTATAGCAACTATTCCCAGAATAATTCAATGTTTTTCATCAATAAGCAGACACGAGGTTGTTAATATAGAATTTATTAGAACACAATTGCTGACGTTT